TGCACCCACCCCCAAAATGGTACCGTTGGTTTTGATCCACAGCTACATGGGCTCTACCGCTGGCTCCGCTCATCTTCCGCGTCCAGGCGCATCTGGTCGTGGGCCCGGCGCAGCAGCCGTCGGAACTCCCCGGGGGAGAGGCCCATCGCCTGGCACCGAGTCGCCCAATTGGGTACCCAAGGCTTGGTGCGACAGGTTGGGAAGGAAATGACCCAAAATTCACCTTAAAGAATTAGCTCAGGTGATATCCCCAACAGCATGCGGTGCTCTTTTTAGTGCTCGCCCCACCCCGCAGACCTTGCAGAACCTCGTGGAACCCTGGTGGAAATTTCGTGGAACCTTACCTCAGGGCCGCCCCGGACCACCCCGGAGCCTATCTGGGCTGAGACCCCAAAGCTTTCAGCTGTTGGGGAAAAACCAGCAGTTGGATGATTGGAATGAGTTGGAATGAACCGGTTTTGGATTTGGATTCCCTTTACAAAGCTTAAAGGAACCAGCAGTTGGATGGTTTAGGTAGGGCATGAGTTTACCAAGCTTGGTGCGAGAGGTAGGGAAGGTGGGGATGAGCCCAGGATTTTTCTAGGACACCAGAAAAATATGGTTTAGGCAGGGATGAGAAATGGAACGAACTTGTTTTGGATTCGGATTCCCGAAAGGAAACCCCCAGTTGATCGATGGTTTATAGGGGGTCCTTCCATTTCTCAGTGCCTGCCTATCGCAGCAAGTCATCTTTTAGGTGGGGAATTTTGTCAGGGTGCATGTGCGTGGTGGACGCAGGCAGCTCATTCATAGCCATGTGGGTATGTAGAAAAGCAAGGGAACAACCCCTCTTAACCAAGGTGCGCCCCTTCCAAAACTACACCACCAAGGGTGCCCTCAAAACCCCCCCCCCCCCATGTTTTCCTTGTCTGCCGGAACCTCCAAACGAGTCTTCGTGGAAGAAAAGGACAGGGATATTGAAGGGTAACCTTGCCTTCCGAGCAAAACAAACGGATCTGGAGAAAGAAATAACTTGAACATCACAGGTTACCCTATTAATAGCTACCAAACAACGTAGGAATGCCACCCTTCCACCAAGAAATATGTCAGCCGGCATACTGTCAAAGCGGACATTAGTCTTCCAAGTTTCAAAGCTCCTGCAGGCTAACTCGGAGCCAACAACAACTCATTTGTGGAGGAATCTCCTTTTTGGGGGAACCCTCATTTGTGGTGCCCGTGTCAGCTTTGGGAGTAATTCTGGAGGAATTAAATTTACTCACCTGCCCGAAGGACCTGGACATGAAAGGTGAACCTGGGGTCTTGGCCAAACATGAGGCTTACCTCAAGGACGGTTAATTCAATAGTCTCAAGTAAGGTTAAGGTTTATCACAGGCTGCCTGACACGCACTTTTTCTCGAGTAATGGTTAGCTTGACATAAGGTACGAGTTCCCCCGAAGAAATGAACCGTGAAGAGGCCTGATAAACACTCAATTCAAGTGACTCTTTTGCGGTAAGGTCCAGTGCTTTTGTGAAATCTTCTTCGGGCATCCCGTGGCCGTGTGACACCCCTTTGAGCAGTTTACGTTTCCTGTGACCGGAACCCATGGAGATCGCCTGCAGGAACGCTGCGCTTTGCTCCTCAAGCTCCAACCGAACGAACTAAGCACCGATTCTCGTTTCAGATTTGGCTGTGGGTCAAACCCAATGGTACCATTTTGGTAGGTGCACCACCCATTTTAGAACCTATTTTAGTGGGGATTGGGATGTTCACTGGGGGTACGGGGTTTTGACCCATGGCCATTTCCAGCAGGCCGTATGCAACGCACCCAGAAGTCTTCAGACCTGATGGCAGCTTGGCAGCTTTGCCGGGAGGGCTGACGGCCGGGAACCGTGAAACCATCCTGAGCTCAATGGACCCCCTGGCTGATCAACTAGCGAGCCTCCCATAGAACGCACGAAAGGGCTTCTTGATGGGGGGGGGTCAGATGCAGGGGGCATGATTATCCTCATCTCATCCCCAGTGACAACCACTCCCCAAAGGGGAAAGGGGCATGCGCTTTCTTTTAAACCAGTCCTTTTGAAGGCTTACTCTGCAGCAAGCCGTCTGAGTTTGCAGAAGGGGGGATTTCGATAGTTTGGGAAAAGCAGACCTGAAGAGAACCAGCCAGACGGGTACCTAGTTTTTTGCCCGAGGTCAAATACAGGTCACTATCCTGAAAAATCACCAGCTTCAAGCCCTCAAGGAATATGTAATATGTACATATATATATATAATGTGTGACCAAGCTTGGAGTACTAAGGGGCACACCCTCACCATCTCAGCTGTCGCCCGCAAACATAAAACCATAGTTGTGGTATTCTTCTTTCTTAGGGAGCATCTCACACCCGAACACACCCGTCTACCATATTTGAGCCTGCTCCAAGTCTCCAATTCAGCCAGCCCTTAAAACCACACAAAAAAAAAAAAAAACACGGAGCTTCAACAGGTAATCCCGTGGAATCTCCTTTCGGAGGACGCCTCAACATGTTCATTGGGGGACTGCAATCCCGTGGTCGGAACCCACGGGCCCCCCTTCGGGCGGCTCCTTGTACTCCGGGCTCAAGGCGCCGATGAGCCCCAGGCGCCCGAAGAAGATGTCCCAGCGCTCCTGGGGAATTTTGATCCATTTTCCTCCAGTTCGTGTTTCTAGTCGACTACACTCACTTCCGAACGAGTCCATGGCCCTCGCAATCGGGTTCCTTTACATCATGCCTGGAGCATACCCCCAAGTTGGCCAAAGGGTGATGCATGGAGCCAGACCTGGGAATATAGGGAGGCCCCCTCAGATACTTGAAGTCATGAGGGCCCACCGGCATTCTACATGAGTTTCGTTTTGCCCGCCAAGGCAAACCATGGGATTGAACAAAACAATCAACACATTCATGAGTCGTTGGTCTCAAAGGAGTGCAGGGACAAGGGGATCAACCCTGAACGAGCCCTCATTGAGGACTTTTCCTTGTCCAAGAAAAACAACTAACAGCCCCAGTTAGGGGCCCCTTCAACGTCCATAAGGAGCTGCGACACGGAGAGCCCTTCACAACGAACCCAGGCCTCAATGCGTTCGAGCTGGTCAAGGAAGGCGATCTTCCCCAAAGGGTCGAAGCTGCCATAGGACTCGCCCATCTTGATGAGCTGCCGGTGGTCTCTCCTCAGGAGCCTGGGCTTCGCGGCTACCCTGATGAAGGTTTGGTGAGTCGAAAAAGACCAGGTCTGGCGCAACTTTCTGGGTATGGGACCTTCATAGACTTTCTCGGTATGCCTCCCAAAAAGGGAAACCCGGCAAATTGGGTCCCTGACGCTGTCTTTGGCTTCGGAGCCAAGCTAGCAGTTTGTCAAGCATTGCCTCAAGTCTGATCGCTGAGCTGTTCCCATGTTCCATCCGAATGGATTGGGTTCTTTCTTGCGCGCCCGCATTCAACAGGGTGATTTGGCCAGGGGGGAAGCTTCCATCGCGTTTTGACTTCATGGACCTGAAACGGACCCCTTGGAAGACAACCTTTCCTCTAGGGAATCTCTCTCAGGTTTCTGGAGGGGATAAGCCGGTTTAGCGTAGCAAGGACAACTTGTCGGACCCAATGCTTCAAGGACAAGAAGCTCGTACTCCTCCTTGACCATGTCACTCTTGAAGGCCGAGCTATCCTTGCGTGCGGAGTCTGCAAGAGTTCTTGGCCCAATTCTGGGCTGCACCAAAACAAGGTGTTCAATTTTGCATTGTATTTTGGCTACCCTAGATTATGTCTTTTTGGAGGAGGCACCAGCAATGTGCGCTTTCCAAAACTTGTGAACCAAACCATGGATGGCTTCCTGTTGTTTTCCCTTTCAACACTCCCTATGTTTTGGAAATGCCCAAGCCGACTTACCATCGTGGCTGCCGTATGTTTAGCAAAAGCCGGCAAGACACGCCCCAAAAGTCCAAACACCAATCCTCGAAGCAGAAACCCTCCAAAACCCATGCCGTCAAAGCATGAAGCCTCCAAACACATGCCTTTGAGAAAGAAACACTAAAGTAAACGCTTTGAATGGCGAAGCGCTTCTGTCTTACAGTAGGCCTTGAAAGGGGAAACCCTCCAAGAAATGGCAAGTAACGGGGAATGCATCAAACACTACCTTTCAAGGTGGGTCAAATTCAACATGTTGCCAGCCATAGGATTGTTCAATTCTATTCGGAATGGGAATCTATGGATAGCAGCATCGCTGGAGGGAAACTATGCTCTCCAGAAAAAGAATAACAACAAAACAAAGCACTGCAGCAACATGATGGCATGGTCTGGTCAGGGGGGTCTTTTTGCCACCTTTTGTGAAAATTGGCGACTCCCTCAAGGAATCCTTCACTACAAGGGGGTGGATCATTTGTTCCACAGGTGGCAAAAAGACCCCCCTGGTTCTGATGACCCATCGCTTTCCAAAAGCGCTGAACTTTCATGTGTCCGGCCATGTTCTGAGAGGGATTCCTAGGTTCACAGCTGTATACTGCTACAATGGAAGGACCTACAGCTGCTACGCAATGGTTCGCCCATTCTCACTTGTCCAAAGGACTGTGAAAAAGCAAGGGTAGACTTCTGGAACAACCGTATGAGTCAAATTGGAAGAAGTGTTTCGCTTTGCCACAGGGCAAAGGTTGGGCAGGATAGCTAAGTCCGGCATTGTATAGAACAAGCCACTCAACAAAAGTAAGCACTTCGTACCTCCCTGCAGGTTTCTCGGAATCACAAACTAAACGCAGCATTTTACATGAATGAATCGCCTTTTGGGGTCCCTTTGCCTTCCATGTGCTTCTGCACGGGGGTACTTGGCCTGGGTTAATACAGTCCAAACCTACATCGGCCATGTACGCCTCCCTGCGGCTTCGCGCTCCGCGTTCCGGGCGTCAAATGGCTCGGCTTCGATCACCGGGGGCGCGCCCGTGGCCGAGGGCATGTTCTCAGGAACCGCCAAGTTCAGGTCCGGCGGGGGCATCGGGG